TATACTGAGCCTTACCCATCCATCAGTCAAAAGCTACTGGGCAGACTGCAGAGGTTCAAAACCCTGATGACTGGGTGAACAGTCGCCCTTTTTCTGTGTAGTTCTATATAGCACATTGTGCACACAAACACACACACAACAAGGTCGAAGGTAGGGGAGGGGACACACAATTTTGGAGACACCCTGAGCGACAGTAAAAGCAGTACGAGACTTCCCTGAAAGGATTATTATGAACTCCTTCGGCTATATATTGCAAGTACTGGGAAGCAGTGTTCCTAGTGTTCTATGAGGTGTTTAAAACACAGCTAAACGAAAGATATCATGACAGTCATCCAGATTGCCCAAGGTAGTTCGGGAGGCACGCCCAGACTACATAAAAAATGAAATTTCCTAAAATGTTCTGGAAGATGAAGAGTTTCGAACTTTCGATGCCCAAGGTAGTTCGGGAGGCACGCTCAGAGCCATACCTGGCGGGTAGAGAGAGAGAGAGAGAGTTCAAACTACAATTTCAAGGCTCGAGGTTGGAACAGGGTCGGGTGTTTTCACTAATGTTTAGCATCATAACCACAAACAAAAATAGAACAGTAAAATAGCTCCTACATAAACAACTGGAAAAATCATACCAACAAAAAAAGACCTGATAACACAAGTGAGGGCCCAAGGATCCGCATTTCACAGAGAGGAGAGGGCACACACGTAGAGAGACCTTACAGCCCAGAATCTGGATCGTGGCTGGACCCTACGGGCTGGAAGTCTGAAGCACAACCGGTTTTTTTTTTTTTTCCTCCTGACATCCCTCATCGAACTCGTCCTAAAGCCAACGCTCCAAGGATAAGTCAAATGGATACCCTGAAAAACCTAATTTCCCAAGGATTTCGTCCTCAGGCCCGGAGACGCCTACAGAAGTGGATAACGAGGCCCTAAGACCCGAGCATCAGCATAAAACTGCATTTCAGAATAGATATGGACTATAAGAGTTGTGGCTATGTCCGCACTTTCAGAATCAATACCATACAATCTCTCTGGAGTAAACAACATGTGTCTATATGTCATGTCATTCATCTGTGAGACTATTGAGTAAACACACGCGCGTGCACGCACACACACACACACACACACACACACACACACACATTCCAACGAAGCTCACACCCCTTGCTCAGGTTTAGATACAGATGCACAGGTACCATCTACACAAGCTGGATTTCAGTGCTCGGATGGATTCATTGTCAAGCTCTAACATAGATATGGTTTGCAGCCTACCGAAAGACAGAAAATCATGCGGTAGGGATTGATGCAGTCCGTTCGCTAGCGAATTCATGAAGCTGTGACATAAGGACTTTACCACCGACATGTTTTCTGCGAGTCATTATGACTCACACACACACAAACACATGTATTTGAATTGCTTGGGCATTTTTCAATATTTGAATGACAAACACACCAATACCCCAATATACCAATTATGTCTAGCAGAGAGCTAAGTGAGGCTGTGAAGGAAGGTGCAATCTGGATGCGTGACATGAAAGAGATGGAGGAGAGGTTATCAACACGGTCAAAGTAATTTTTGGGCCATGCTTGGCACAACTAGGCAGAGAGGCTCAGCAAAGTGTGAGTACACAACCCATTTTAGACAACAAGCCTGGTCGCCCATCCTAAAACTACAAAGCAGGTTCAACACTGCCTGATGGACGAATAGTAAACATGCTGTACAGCCAAGCATCTCTGGAAGCAGCATCAGCAACTTGTCATAATGATTGGGACCGTCAACACACGGTAGTGTGACACAACTCCAGGGGACACAACTGGAACACATGCCCCACCTTCTAACTTATATTCCTCTATGCAAAGGGATGCCACAAGAAAAACAGCAGTGGCAGCAAATGTTGCAGAGCATGATGGAGAATTCCACCCACCTCGATAATGGAAGGTCGCTGAATGTCTCAACTGATGACGAAAGGTTCCCCAAAGGCAACCGATTTCCTCCGAACTCGAAGTCAAGTAGATTACCTCCCTGGAGCCAGACAGTCGTTCAAAGAGCCACAATGAGGAAACAAACACCAGTAATACACAGCCCCTTGCATGCTACCACGTCACACACACCCAGTTCACAGAAGCCAGACCTTCTGGACCTGAAGTTGCAGCAAACATAAGATTCATCCCAAAAAAAAGGATGCAGAGCAACAAGAACAAGTCGGACTCGCAGTGCAGCAGAACCCGTACAGCCTGTTTGTCCGAAAACCGCATTGAAGGACTCAACGCGCGTTGAATCCGCATTGAATCCCGTTGAAAAGCCCGTTAGTCGGGTTACAACGGGACCCGCGATGATTTTTTTTGCGGGCTAAAAATAATCAAACAAACATAAAAAAAAATATAGGGTTGTAGATCTTTTTGAGCTCTACAACCTCATATTTTTATTTTTATTTTTTGAGCTTTTACTATAATTTAAAAAAATTAAAAACATAAAGACAATGAAAAAAAAAAACAGATGAAATGAGTTTTTTTTTTTGGGTTACACAGAGATGTTTTTAGGGCTAAGAAAAAGAAACAGCAAAACAAGCTAAAAATATAGGGTTATAGACATTTCAAAGATGTACAACACTATATATCGTCACAAACAAAACTGCCCGGTAAACCGTAGGCAGAGAGAGAGAAGAGGACAACAAACGAGGGGCTGTGACCAACTGTTTCATCGGAGTTTCACCGACTCATAATCTTTTTTTAACTTCATGTATTTTAAAAAAAAAAAAAAAAAACATAAAAGCAAATAAAAAAAGGAAAATCAGACACGCACGCACACACAGAGACACATAACACACACAAACACACACAAAGACACACACACATGCACACACACACACACGCACGCCAACAATCATGCGCACACACACACATACACAAACACACAAGCATACATACATATTCATGCACAGACACACTCTCACACGCAGGCACACACATACACACATACGCACACACACAGCACACCTGCACACACATAACTGGGGCCTTGGGGGTTGGGGGATGTCGGGGCGGATGGCTTAGAGGGCTTCCAGGCAGGTTTGGGGACTGGTGCCGCGGGGTTGGTGAGTGGCGGGTGGCAGGCTGGTCGGTGTTGGTCTAATTCGGTGGTATAAGAGGTGCTTCAGGGGTTAGGAAATGTTTTTTTTTAGGGGTTTTGCGAGGATCTGGGACCTCGGCAGGCCAAAGGGGCCCTGTTGCAAGTCTGCCTGCCCTAAGTGAAGGCGGGCCTAACAAATCACGAGAGGCCCTCAGCTGCCAATTTCGTATTTGGGGTCCAGGCAGTTGCGACGCGCCAGTTGGTTGAGGGAAACACAGGCCGAACAGCACAGTCATACCACGGCCTTCCAGGCCTTTCCAAAAATGCAGGCCCTGGGCGAGAATCGCAGCTTCATACACAGACAGTTAGGGAAACGCAGGCCGAACAGCAAAGACATACCACGGCCTTCCAGGCCTTTCCAAAAATGCAGGCCCAGTGGCGATGGTCTGCAGGGGCGACATCTTCAAGTACTTCCTGAGCTGCTGACGTCAACAGTTGCATTGTCAATTAGTAGGCAGACAGTAGCTGTGTGGGAAGTAGGATGGGCGCTGAGCGCCAAGTAGGGAGATAGGGCCTGGACACTTATGTTGGTGGTGGCGAGAGCAAGCTCTCATTGACATTGGTTTTCAGTGTTACGATTCTTCATTGGTGTTATAGTGGTGCATTTCTGCTTTCTGGACACTGTGATACTGTCTGGCCTTCAATGTGATTGTGCATTCTGGTTATTGTCATCTCGCTATTGCTCATTTTCCTTGCGGTTCTTTTTTTTTTTTTTTTTTTTTTTTTTTTTTTTTTTTTTTTTTTTGCCTAGGGCCCTAGACTACCAGAGTGGCCCGGGGTCACTTGCCCGGCCGGGCCAAAAACAATTAAAAAAATAGAAATAAAAACAAAATATTTTTAAATTTTCTTTTTTTTCTAAATTTGGTGCAGAATTTCGATGTGACCCTGAGGCAAAAGTTGTTCAGTTTATTTTTCTGCATAACATAGTTTTTTTCCGGATTTTTTTGATTTTTTTTTTTTTTGCTGGGATATTTTTCTGCATAACATAGTTTTTTTCCGGATTTTTTTGATTTTTTTTTTTTTTTTGCTGGGACCTTCCCTGGTCCTTGCACGGGCTGGCCACCGGGACCCGGGCGGCCCGGCTGGTAGCCTAGCTAGGGCCACATGTTCCGGACCCCGCACATCAATTCCGTTTTTCCGAAAAGCGTGGGCCCTGCCCATTTTCGCGTTTAACGGGAATTTAACGGGATTTTTTCAAATTCAACAGGATTCAACGGGAGTTTAATTCCCCGTTCCTCGTTAAAAAGACACACAGCGTACAGCTAAGCTAACCCGGGCATGTTAGAAAGTTTGGGAGTTAAAAAATTAGAATAATCCAAGGCTGTCCTTCGGGACATCCGTTAAAATTGGAACGACACAGAGAAGATTAGCACGGCCCCTGCGCAAGGATGACACGCATAAATGGAGACATGGTCCAAATTTAAAAAAAAAAAAAAAAAAAAAAAAAAAAAAAAAAAAAAAATCCAAGGCTAGTTTGTCTTTTTCAGGTGTCAAGGCTTTAAACCACCGGTCCAACATGCTGGCACTGTTCATTTTTCTCATCAACGAATATCGGCCATGGGCCGTTCGGCCCAGGACCAGTAGAGGTTTGGTGATCAGTGACGTCCGAGGGCGTCCCCGGCCCAAATAAAGCTGCGGACCGAGCACGTGTTTCCACATGCTCGGACACCTACGAACATCAGCACGAACCAAGACACAAAGTGGGAACAACAACAAAAACCTGGAACAGTTTCACACACACACACATAACACACACACACACACACACACACACACACACACACACATAACACACACACACACACACACACATACACACAGGCGCTCACAGACACCACACATAACATAACAACGGGATGATGATGATGACTTCGCCCTGCGGTTTGTGCATTGTAAACTGTCACCACAACAACTGCTTTTCCACCTAGATGAGCAGATCCAAAATTGAACAGCTTCACCTCTAGACTAGCACACAACACGGAGCAACTCCTGCCAAAATAAAAACACCTGTACTCTATAGCAAGCAACATGAAGGACAGTCAAACCATTATACTGCCCTTTCCTTACACAGTCCACTCTTTGCTTTCTTTGGCTTTATTTGGGCAAATTACATGAAGCACACTACTATAAACAGAGCCAAAACCGAAGCACCTTCACTCTATAGCAAACAAAGCACAGTAAAACCATTATATTCTGTGTTAAACTCCGGGCCGCCCAGCGGCCCAGCCTCCGTCCGACAGGGGTCCCGGGCGGCCTGGGCCTTGGGAGCACCTTCACTCTATAGCAAACAAAGCACAGTAAAACCATTATATTCTCTGTTAAACTCCGGGCCGCCCGGCGGCCCAGCCTCCGTCCGGCAGGGGTCCTGGGCGGCCCGGCCGGTTGGGTCCCCCGGTTTGATGTCGGGCGGGCCCAGCGCATTTTTGCGCAGGGGGGCGGGGGGGAGGCCTGTTTCGAACTTTTCTGGGCCTTGGGAGCCTCCCCGCCCCCCCTGCGCAAAATTTTTCCTCCGCGCCCCGTTCGAATCCGAAGAACGAACTGCTTCCGCCGCTGCCCCGTCGAAGTGGTCGAAGTGAACCCGTGTCTGCCCGCGCCGTCGAAGTGAGATCGCCGTCGACATGCCCGCCTTCGCTGAGGTCGTGTTCCCGCCATCGACGCCCGTCGCTGCCCGCCTTTGCCGAGGTGCTCGTCGTCGACGCCTGTCGCTGCCCGCCTTCGCCGAGGTGCCCGTCGTCACTGCCCGCCGCCGCTGCCCGTCGTCGCTGCCCGTTTCCCAGCTCGTCCTCACTGCCCGTCGTCGTCGATACGGTACCGTTGCTCGAAGTGCCACGTGTCAGGCTCTCTCTCTCTCTCTCTCTCTCTCTCTCTCTCTCTCTCTCTCTCTCTCTCTCTCTCTCTCTCTCTCTCTCTCTCCTCCTCCTT